GGTGCTGTGTACTGAGTACACACTAGGCAAGCACTCTACTACTGAGCTACACCCCCAGCCCAATAAAAAGTTTTTGACTTAGTGAAAACAGTTCAATATAGTACCTGGCTCATAGAACATTCCCAATGGAATGTTCATCCTTCTTTCTTTCTTTTTTTTTTTTTAAACTGGTCTGTCCTACACACATTTATTCATTTTTAATTGGAGCTTTCCATACATAAAGGTGGAATTCACTGTGGTATATTTATACAACACATAGTGTAATTTTGTCAAATTCATCCGACATTTCTTCCCCTCTCCCATCCCTCTTTCTTCCCCCTCAGTTTCCTATTCCACTAAATTTCCCTCTATCTTTATTTATTTTATTTTACTGGTTCTTTTTAATTACACATGACAGTAGAATCCATTTGGATAAAATTATATAAGCATGGGATATATCTTACTCTAATTAGGACCCCATTCTTGTGGGTGGGCACAATGATAGGGTTCCCTTAGGTATTTCACATGTAGACATAGGAAAATTATCTTAGATTTATTCTACTGTCTTTCCTATTCCTCTCCCCTCCCTTCCTTTCCTTCCCCTTTATCTAATCTACTGAATTTCTCTTCTTCTCCTTCCCCCCTTTATTGTGGTTTAGCTTCCACATATCAGTGAAAACATTTGACCTTTGGCCTTTGGGGAATGGCTTATTTCCCTTAGCTTGGTAATCTCCAGATCCACCCATTTACTGAAAAGTGTCATAAAGTCTCATCATTCTTCTTTACCTAAGTATCATTTGTGGCATTATGACATTATGACAAAAGCAATGGTTAACATTTATTGAGTCTTTCCTTGTGCCACACGATGCACTAATGCCATACAGATTTTATCCCGTGGAATTCTCAGAACAACCTGAAGAGATAGGTACTATTATTATTCTGATTTTAACTGATGAGGAAAACTGGGACCCCACTCAAGATTGCACAGCTGGAGTTAGGGGAAAACTAACCCACGCTGGGATAATAACTAGAGTTAAGACTCTCAGACCTGCCACTTGGTAGCTATTTGACTCCTGGCTGTCTTTTTTTTTTTTTTCCAGTTGTATATGGGCTCAATGCCTTTATTTTATTTATTTATTTATTTATTTGTTTGTTTGTTTGTTTATTTATTTATTTATTTATTTATTTTTGTGCTTGGATTGAACCTAGTGCCTCACACTTGCAAGGCAAGTGCTCTACCACTGTGCTACAACTCCAGCCCTCTGGCTATGTGTTAACACCTCTGTGCTTTAATTTCTTCATCTGTAAAAATGAGTCAAGGTTGCCATCTCCCACAGTCCTTGGGCAATCAAATGCAGTGATATGTGTTAAATACCTGGCACATACTAGGGTCTTATTAGAGAGCTTACTATCATTTCCTCTGCTTCTTCCTCCTCCAAATTCTCCAGGGGTGGAATCTGTTGTTTGGTAAACACTCTCTATGGAGAGTCCCAGACTTTAGTGTCCCCATGGTCACCAGAGAGTTCATTAAAATGCAGCTTCCCTGGCCTTTGTATCTGGGGTGGGGGCCTAGAGTTCACATTTTAAACATATCTTTCCCATTGATTGTACCTAGTCAAAGCTCAGATCACACTTCGAGAAATTAGACTGAAAAACGTCCCTATCCAGTCTTTAGAATCCTGCAAGTTTCTTATAAACATAATTGACAGTCATAAAATCTGAAAATTTTCTCATGTTACAAACCCACGTTGGGGCTGAGCAAAAAAATAGTGGTAGAATTTATGCTGCATGTTTAAGGTCCTGGGTTCCCTCCCCAGCAACCCCCATCCTCCCCAAAGCTTCAGCTTTGACATTAAGTTCAGAAAGTGTTTCAATGAGTACAGTATTTTCAAAGACACTGACATGATTTCTTTAAACATTCTTTCTCGGGGAGTATCAAATTTGGAATTGAACTTCAAATAGCCAGGTCACAGCTGAGCAGCACATTACATAGACCTCAGCTCTATTCCTGAGGATAGACAGGAAACACAGGAACACACAGGAATTCTTGTGTTTCCTGTCTTCTTGATTCCTGTGTGTTTTGAAAGTTGTATGTTACATGTCTTTACATATCTGGCAATGGCAATGGTATAAAGTATAGCCAAAAATTTTGTAAGATGGCCAACATGTAGGTCCTATTTCAAGTAGCAGCATTAATTATAGGATATGAAAGTAGGATATTTATAGAACATTTTGATTTGGGAGGGGATACTGGGGATTGAACCCAGAGGCACTTTCCCACTGAGCACTTTCCCAGTTCTTTTTATTTTTTTTAATTTGAGACAGGGTCTTGCTGAGTTGCTAAGGCTGGCCTCAAACTTGTCATCCTCCTGCCTCGGCCTCCTAAGTTGCTGAGATTACAGGCATGCACCACTATGAAGCCCATTTTAATTTTTTGAGAAGAGGAAATTCAATGCTCAGCTATGCATTATATGTAGGTGGATTTGCTGTTGCTACACAGTTAATCTGTTTGTTTGCGAGTATTTGTTAGACCCTAAAGCTTAATTCAACTTACTTGGGATATAAACTTTGGTTGACCCTGGAAAAGGACTTTTTTTAAAACTAAAACCATAATTGTTTAATTATCAGTTCAATTACAAAGAAGATGTGTCAGGCTTCATTTTAAGTTCACAACTAAAAAGAGTTGTTATCCACACCCTTTAAAAAGTGGGAAATAAGGGACAATTAAGTTTCTTCATAATTGGATTGTCACAGTGAAGCATTACCCATTTTGGATGACTTTCCAGATCATTAAAGAATCCCATTTAGATTGAAAGGGAAAAAAAATACATTCAAAAAATAATCCAAGTAGTGCAAGATCCTATTTTAAAATGGAAGAAGATAAGGTGGAGAACTGGGGAGCTTGGCCCTGTGCCAAAAGGGAAGCGCTCAGAAGGTCATGGTGCTCTGATCACCATCTCCACGCCCAGGACCCTGCACCCAGCCTCTCTCACCTGAAGGTGCTCTTTGGGGCCATAGAATGGTATAAAGTGAGGAATAATGAAACAGCATAGTCCTCATGTCAATGTGTGACCTTAAGCATAGCAGAAAGCCTCCACTTTGGGAGACGTCTCAGAAGGTGTAATTGCTCAGAGAGATTCCTCCAAAGTCCACCCTCCGGCGTCACTCTTATCTATGTGGTGTACATACTTCCTGATAACCACTGCATTTGTGCGTATCAGTTTTGTCACAAAGAGCATGGAAGAGATGGGTAGTAATAGTTCATTGTAATGGTTTTATTTTTTTAAGAGATTTTTCTCATTTTTATTTTATTTATTTTATGTGGTTCTGAGGCTCGAACCCAGGGCCTCACATATACTAGGTGAGCACTCTACCACTGAGCCACAACCCCAGCCCCTAATGATTTTATTTTTAAGTGCATATGTGTGACCATGGGATGCACCTGACATTTCTTTCTTTCTTTCTTTTTCTTTTTCTTTTTTTCTTTTTTTTGGCACCAGGAATTGAACCCAGGGGTGCTTTACCACTAAGCCACATCCCCAGCCTTTTTTTTGTTTTAATTTTTTAAAAATGTGGATGGACCTTTCTTTCTTTCTTGGTGCTGGGGATTGAACCCAGGGCCTTGTGAATGTGAGACAAGCACTTTACCAACTGAGCTATATCCCCAGCCTTTATTCATTTATTTATATGTGGTGGTGAGAATCTAACCCAGTGCTTCATACATGCTAGGCAAGTACTGTACCACTGAGCCACAACCCCAGCCACCCCCAGCCCCCTTTTTTAATATTTTATTTAGAATTGCTTAGGGTCTTGCTAAGTTGCTGAGGCTGGCTTTGAACTCAGGATCCTCCTGACTCGGCCTCCCCTACCACTGGGATTACAGGCATGTGCCACCTCACTTGGCCTGCACTTGACATTTCTAAGCCTCAGTTTCTTCATTCATGAAATGGTACAAAATGAGGAATAATGAAACAGCATCGATGTAAAGATTAAATGAAACGATATGGAGGCCTCTGTCCCTTTTCTGAAAACTTTGGGGCCAACTGTGATTAGAGTTCAGGATTATTCATACTTGGAAAGTTACTATAATATATAGATCATACCTTACAGAAAATTCCCAGCAGGCTCTAGGGTGTTACCTGCAACATCAGTTTTTTTCTTGGGGCAAACATATGACTATTCCTATAGTCTTTATAAATGTTATTAATGACTATAAATGGTGTATGTCAATCCAGGTCTGATTTGAAGTCAAATGAGTTTGTGCCAAACTTAGAAGAAACCTGTAAGGACTATAAAGAGAATTGCATTAGATCAAACCAGGTTGTAAGGCCAAATGAGTCTGGGGCACTTACCAAGAAAAAATATAGAACACATTTTATGAACATCACAGTTTGTGGATATTTTATTGTATCTCTCAACTTCCCAAATGCATTGAATTCTAGACTATTTGAAAAAATATAGAACACAGTCTGAAATAGAACAATAGCTTTAAAAAGTTAGAAATCTTTGACTTAAACATTAGGAAATCTGTGCCACACAGTGCAATAGGTTTATTGCATATTACATCCTTTACTTCAATCAAGGGCTATGCTTTTGACCCCTATGTTCTACTAGATATTGGCCTTTTTGAGAGGTCAGAGGTGAGTCCAGTTCTTATTCCTACATTTTAGGGACACCTTTCCCAGAGTTAAATTCCTTTTAACTATGACAAACTTATTTGTTTACACCTGGTTCATTTCACTAAGAAGCTGAGGTTGCTTATAAGAATACATGCAATCCCAGTGATTAAACTGAATAATCATGGGAATTGGAACAAGAGAAAATGGGTGATACTTAGGTGTGGAAGTATTTTTACTCTCATGTTCATGTATGGTAGTCTGGGTTCAGTGTTATACATCAATAAAAATTTTACTTTATAGACCTTGGAGCCTTTCACAGTTCCCAGGTCATCTTGCAAGACTGCAGATATCCAATATCCCCTATCCACGTTGACATCTGCCATCACCGAATTTGCTTCACAGGTTTTTTTCAAAAACAAGCTGAAGTTGGCACTTATTGGCCAGAGCCTTTTTGGACAGGAAGTCTACAGTCACCTCCGCAAAGAGGGCCACCGAGTAGTGGGGGTGTTCACAGTTCCAGACAAGGATGGCAAAGCTGATCCACTGGGTGAGTGCTCTTGGGGTGCATGGATCAAGAACTCTCCAATCCGGGCTGGTGATCAGAGCTGGTACAGCAGCTCTGCATTGCTCACAATGTCCATGCCCTCTACTTGCTATTTAGCCATGACCTTGGCAGGGCTTCCATCTCATGAGCCAAGGTAGCTGCCTCAGCCCCAAGTAAGTTTGCATTCCAGCAAGCAAGAAGGGCAAGAGGGGAAGTTGAGGTTAAACATTTATTATGGGCATAATCCAGAGGTTGCATTTGAATTTATTTGCAGAGGAGACAGAGAAACAGAGATTTTATTGGGGGGGGGTGTATATATGTTCAAGTCAGCTAAGGGAATCCATTGCTAAAGGATGAATGGGGGACTAGTACTCTCTGTCGTGTACATGGGTTTCAGAATGGCAAGCATGTGACTTTCAGACCTCATTTTAGAAGGGGTCCTGGGAAATGAACTCTCCTTGGTGACTGGACCCAGGGTGACCAGCCCATTTTCTGTTGGCCATGACCGTTTGAACTCAGCACATAACTCAGAAGAAGGAAAAATAGCAATCTGGTTTTTATAGGGTACCCTGGGAGATGGTACAGCATGTGTTCAATCAGCATATGTTCTAGAGTCAGGGGATTAATGCAAACTCTGCCACTTACTGTGTGACCTCAGGCAAGTTGCTTACTCTTCTTTCAGTTCAATGGTACAAACCTCAGGTGGCTGCTGTGGGGGTTAAAAGAGATAATGTACATCAAGTGCTCAGCAGTACATCAGGATCCTAATAAGCAATCAGTAATGACAGTAGCTAATCATTCTTGCCATATTAGTTGATTGAGGAAGCCCAAAACAGATCTGGGGCAGCCAGAAACCAAAATAGGAGATGGGCACCTTGGTGCCTCAATCCAGTCTCTGTAGTACATTATTTACAATGAACATTCACAATGAAGATCTCTCTCCTCTACCCCATTTCTCTTTCTCATATAATCTTCCACATTTTTCTTCAATTATCACACTTCAAACCACCATCTATCCATTTCCCTGTCATCTGACATGTGAATTATGTTTCTTGAACATTTTATGAACGTCACAATTTGTGGATATTTCATTGTATCTCTCAACTCCCCAAATGCATTGAGGAAGGCTTCACCTTAGTGGCCAGAGTCCTTCAGGACCTCCTTAGGTTTTAGAACTTGAGTTTTGTGCTAGAGTCATCATCTTCCCCCATCAATCTACCCTAGTCAATTTATTTAAATGATTGGATAGGGAAAAAGGGAAAAAACACACAAAAATGCAGACAAAAAGATTTAGTGAAGGTTTCTGGAAAGATCTAGAACAGATATACACACATATGTATATACACACTTACATATACTCTATTATAGAATATGTAATAGTATACATAAAATATTTATTTTATCTGTTTATAAATATTATCAACTGTGGATTATAAAAATATATAGTTGTGTATTAATATACCATAATATATTAACACATTAATATATTAGTAGATAGTATATTATATAATATGTCAAAGTATTTATTAATAGATAATAGTATTACTATAAAATATTTATATGTGACATTTAGGTGAATATACATACTTAAATCAATATGTACACTTAAGATATACGATACTTGGTAAAAATGACATTTTATTGTGAAAAAAATAGGCTTGCCTTGTCTGTCCTTTGGAGGGCAAATTCATTTTCACAGGGAGTTAGGATGAGTCATTGTCTGGGAAGGGACAATGCTTGGATGGAGACTTTGATCTGTTCGGTCTTGGCTAGATCCTTACAAATGCTGAGTGTGTCCCCTCCATTTTTAGCCCCCCTCCTTTTCGCAATGGGCAAAGGTGCGACATATGCAGCCAAGGAGAGAAATGAAGGATGTCCATGTGCTTCTACTCTTTTCAATGCTTTATTCACTCAAATCACTCCATACAATTTCACTTGATTGGTTATTAATCAAGAAATTGACAATCCTTAATGCTGGGCACTGCAATAGACATAATCAATTAAAGCAAAGAATTCTAAGTTAACTCTAAGCACTGCAAACACATTAATCATGACAGACCTATTACAGACATCCCCTCTGCATGCTAAGCTCAAGTGCCAGATCTAAAGTCTTAAGGCTTAGGTCTTAAGTCCAGCAGATGCACACTCAGACCGCAGCAATCACATCAGCAACCGGTAGAGCCTTCTCCTGGTGTGGAGTCGACGGCTGGCTGAGGAGATGGTCATGAGGAGATGTCGCCGATCTCACTAGGGTCGAGAGGCTGCTGTAGAATTTGAGAGCAGCCAGGACGATGCAGAGGATCAGACAGGTGATGAGAAGAGTTGGGATGTCAGTCCAGGTCCTCATCAGGCTCTCCAGCAAGTGGGCATCAGTGTCAGCTGGCTGAATGTCTGTCCTTTTGCTCTATCATTTATACTAAATTTTGGAGGTTCTGCTCACCCTTTGGGTCCCTATCAGCTGTTACCAGGTTTCTTAGAGATGTTTTGCATTTCAGAGCCAAGCCATTTGGTTTGGTGGCTTCCACCCTGATTTTCCACTCTGATCCTTATCAGGGTTAAAGCAATGATGTGTTTATACTAAGTGACTTCACTCTGACTCTTGTCAGGGTTGTGGAAAGCGACTTGTTTATACCAAGAGGTTTGCTTATGATGTGTTTACCAGGCTATGCCTGATGATGTATTGGAGGGCTCTATAGACTTGTGCCTGGGGAGGATGCTTAAAATGGAGTTGCTTAGGCTAAGGCCTAAGGCCATCCCTGCACTCCTCCACTCACTTATCCATTTGGTGAACCTGGGAGAAGGAACTAGACTAGTGCAGCTCACCAGCTGTAACCCTGCATCTATTGGTGTCTACCTGCTCAGCAGGGAGAATATGTTGGGCTCTACAGTTTGTTCTGTATGGGGAGGGGGAGACCCAGGTTTTCCAATGTTCCAAAATTGGAGCAGGTTTAATTTGGGAGTGACATACTGGCACGTGGCTCCAAATCTAACACTATTACATTTGTTCTGGAGTCAGGGGATTAATGCAGACTCTTCTACTTACTGTGTATGACTTCTGGTCTAAAAAGAAAAAAAACTTCCATTAAAATTTCAAAATATTATCTGGTCACAAGCTCTTTTTTTGAACTATGTTTTTTATTATATTATAAAATATATTATTTTATTTATTATGTGATGCTGAGGATCAAACCCAGTGCCTCACAAGTTCTAGGCAAATGCTCTGCCACTGAGCCACAACCCCTAGTCACGAGCTTTTGGGTTCAAACATATTATGCCTTCAACAGACAAATGTCACTCTATAAAAACAAACGATGCAATGATAGATGTCAAATTCTGATCACTGTTGTTCACCATGGTTTATTTGTACATGTTTCATGAAATGTAAAATTGCAATGTATGAGTTGAGAGCAATATAAAAGTTGGCTAACTTTTTAAAAATGAAAATATTTTCTTTTTCATGCTCAGCTTTGGCTGCAGAGAAAGATGGGACCCCTGTGTTCAAGTTTCCTAGATGGAGGGTCAAGGGCAAGACCATCAAGGAAGTGGCGGAGGCCTACAGATCTGTGGGTGCCGAGCTGAACGTGCTTCCCTTTTGCACGCAGTTCATCCCCATGGATGTCATTGATCACCCCAAGCACGGTTCCATCATTTACCACCCATCCATCCTGCCCAGGCACAGAGGAGCTTCTGCTATCAACTGGTGAGGTTTTTAAAAATAACAGACGCTGGGCCTATTTCCATTGCCTACGGTCTGGTTTTTTTTTTTTTTAACCTAGGTGATCAATAAACCAGGTATGCTTGACAATTGTGAGGTCCTGAGCAGTTGCCTCTAGTACATGAACTCCCCTGAGATCTTGACATACTGCATGAACCAGGACAGCATATCCTACAAGAATAGTCAGTAGGAACTATTCCAGTGACTATAACTAGGCAAACAGAAGTTCTGTGGTCAGATCAGGTTGGTTTATGCTGGACTGTTTTTTTGTTTTGTTTTTGTTTTTTTGTGATACTGGGAATTGAACCCAGGGCCTCACATATGTTGGCAAGTGCTTTCCCACTGAGCTACATTCCTGGCCCTTATGCTAGAATTCTTTATCAACGGGCTTCCTTGAGTTTTCACTGTGAACTTTAATTGAGCATTATACTCTCTGAGAGGGAATCTGAGTATAATGTTCCACCAAAAAAACTTGACCACAATTTTTTTTTTTGCATAGAATGTTAAACACATTCCAGAAAATGCTGTATTACTTAAAATTATCTTCTTCATTGTCCATCTTCGCCCATTTGACTTTAAGCTTCTTGAGGGAAGGACTTTGTGTAATGTTTTTATGGCTATTTTAAGAACAGTGCCTGATACACTATAAGTACTCAATAACACAGTTCCACGGTGCTGTGGGTTGATGGGCTTTTCCCACATTTTTTGGCCTTCTTTCCTTTGCCTGCACATCTTCTTGATATCTCTCAGTGTCAAAATTATTGTATAGGTAGAAAATCTACACTTGGTTTAACTGTGATGAAAAAATTTCATGGTATTTAAAGTTTAATTATGTGAATTGATTTATTTTTTGCTGTTATAAATAATCCTGTCATTGCATTTAAGTTTGCATTTTTAAAATTTCACATTGTTTCCACATGCAGAATCATTGAGTCAAAGCATATAAGTATTTTCAAACTCTTAATAACATAATACCAATTAATTCCTCAATATTTCTGAAAAGAATGATTTATTGGTGTAAGTCTTGATTGAACAGTAGATCAGGGAAGTAAAAACAATTTAGACTGTAGGCTTTGCTTACTTACTACTCCATTCTCTCTCTGTGTTAATCTGTTCTCTGATGTGTAATTATAGGTGTTTGTCCACATATCCAGCCTATTGTTTATGTTATAAGCTCCTCTAAGACCAAGCAAAGCTTTTCTCTTAGGGTAAATTTTACAGAGCACAAAATACCAATAGTTGTATTAATCAACTGACCTTTACTACAATTTATGTAGACAATCAAGAGTTAATTCTAATCCTAAGTGAAGTTTATACCTCAATTATAGAACACAAATTAATAGTCAGCTCTTCTCTTCACATTGCACGGAGTATTTTTTCCCCCTTCCATTTCTTTTCTAGGACAAGGTCAAGTGCAATGTAGGAATTGGACCTCAGTGTACAAGTGACTTAGTCGTAAAGTAGAAAACTGACACTTGGGAGTCAATGAGTGGTAGTAATGATGGACTCGAAAGCCTTTTGAATTTTGTAAGTCATTACCGTATATTGACAAGAAAGACTACAGATAGGAGGATGCATAAAATGGCAGTACCATCAGTGTCACTTTTTATAAGCTCTGACATCTCCCAGTTCTACTGTTAATTTCTTAAGGTCACTTCATTCACTGTCTGCTTTTCCATTGTAACTACCTTGTCCTTTAATATCATTAAATCTTTAATGTTATAGTCAAGCAACATTTTAAGTTGAAACTCTTCTTTTCACAGGACTCTAATTATGGGAGACAAGAAAACTGGGTTTTCTGTTTTCTGGGCTGATGATGGTTTAGATACAGGACCCATCCTCCTTCAGAGATCATGTGACGTTGAACCCAATGACACAGTAGATGCACTTTACAATCGATTCCTCTTTCCTGAAGGCATCAAGGCCATGGTCAGTATGTCTGTGCTATCAAGAAGAATTTAGGAAACCTTTAAGCTTTGGAGAACTTTTTTTCTTGTATTAAGAATTTGCCATGTGATTTTCACTAAAAATATGAAATCTAAAAACAAAATTATATTTCATATTTATAGTGGAAATTTGAATTTAATTTTTTTTGTCTATGATGCTGACTTGTTCCTGAGAGCAGTGATTACATGAATGAAACAGCAATTAAACTGCTTCACTATTTTTTGCCAAATACTTGAACTTCCAATCCTGATTATAATGACTAATTGTAAAGAAGCATACAGAATCTTAAAAGTTTTGCTGTATAATTTGGATTTCTGTGTTAGTCAGTTTTCCATTTCTGTGACAAAATACCTGAGATAAACAACTTAAAAGAAGAAAATATTTATTTTCAATCACAGTTTTGGAGGTTTCAATTCATGGTGGTTTGGCAGAACATCATGGTGGGGAGCTTGGAGGAACAAAGCAGTTGCTTCGTGCAGCCAGGAAGCAGAAAGAGGAAGGAATCAGTGTCCCAATATATCCTACAAGGACACACCCTCAATTGTCCATTTCCTCCCACTAAACCCTGCCTCCTAAAATGTCCATCATCTCCCAACAGTGCCATTAGCAGGGGACTGAGCCTCCAACACAGGAGCCTTTGGGGGATATTTAAGATCCAAGGCATAACAACCTCCTTTAAATGTATTTTGAGTTAGTCTGTATAAAGGGGGGGAATTTAGGGTTACCTTATTTATTCAGTTGTTCTCTGGGTAAAAACCCAATGCCTGTATATCATGAAATAAAAATATGAGCTGGCAAAACCATTGAGAGAATGAGCAAATAATTTTCATTTCATTTAATTTTTCCAGAGTTTCATGGTAGAAATAGCAAGATTATATAAAGTAGTAGCCACTGATTTAGGAGGAAGGGGAGCAATGCTTCATTTGTATCACCTAATGATTTAGAGTAGGGCTTTGGCATCAGAAAGACCTGTTTTCAAATTCACAATCTACCACTTGTAGAATGACACTGTTGTGTGACAATAAGCAAGTCACTATAACCTCTTTAGTCTTGATCCCCTCATTTATAAGATGTGGATAACACTGCCTGACTCATAGGATTGATGTGAAAATTAAATAACATTATCTGTGTAAAGTACCTGGCACATAGCAGGTGTTCAGAAGTGGTAATTACGATCAAATAGTATTATGTGTGTTCAGGTGACATTTGCACAAGCCCAGATACTATATCTGAGGTGCCATAAACTTGGCTCTGTTCCCAGATGGCTTCCTCCATGTGTTCTTGGGCAGGTTGTTCAGCAGCTGTGAATCCTTAGAGAGAGAGATCTGAGAACATGGGCATATATAGGTCTCGAGTGAAGGGGCACGCTCTCGACTCAGGGCAATTATAAAAATGCCAAAGGGAGAATGAAAGACACATTCCAAAGGCAATCAAACTCATGGACAGATTTAACTTTTTAAATTCCAGGTATAGTAGGCTAGAAAGCAAGTTGAATTCATGGATTACATGAATTCATTTATTACATTTGCTAGAATCATCCTGATGAGTACAATAACCCACAATGACTTACTCTATAATTATATTCCTGAAATACATTGAATCACCAAGGAGGGAATTGAAGTTTGTTTAAACAAGGAGTCTTTGTGTGTGTGTGTATGTGTGTATGTGTGTGTGTGTGTGTGTGTGTGTGAGAAAGTTGGGACTTGAACCCAGGATCCATGTGCTGGCACATGATGGACAACTGGCTATACCTTCAGCTCCAGACAGGAGTAATTTTTTTTTATTAATTTTTTTTTAGTTGTCAATGGACCTTTATTTTTATTTATTGAAATGTGGTGCTGAGAATCAAAACCAGTGCCTCACACATGCTAGGCAAGCTCTCTACCACTGAGCCACAACCCAGCCCCGGGAGTCATTTTTGAGTGCAGGCTTGGTAATTGGCAATGGACACACCTGAATGCAAATCCCACTTCTGACACCTAGAAGCCATCTCTGTGCTGTTAAGCTAGTTATTCAGCTCTGCCTTGAACCACAATTTCCTCATCCATAAAACAGGAATAACAATATCCATTTTGTGGAATTTGTGTGATGTTTGCAAGGGATATTTTACATGCAATCATGCCCATTTGATGTGCTTGGCACAACAGATGACTCTGAAGAAATAGCAGTCACCATCACAGTCTGACTCTCGGAACAGATACATATGTAGTGATTCTGTTCTGCACAGACTTCAGTTAAACAGACCACGCTGTTGTGGATCACTGGACTGTAACACAGCTGATGTTTCTGGCTTCAGGTAGAAGCTGTCCAACTCATAGCAGACGGAAAAGCGCCTCGAGTTCCTCAGCCAAAGGAGGGGGCAACATATGAAGGCATCCAAAAAAAGGAAAATGCTGAGGTACTTAGATCAGCTTGAGAATACATCTCAAAGTTCCTGGCCCTCTCCCTTTGGAAGTTCCCAGGGTACTATTTCCTGGCAAAAAGGTAGACCTTGGAGCCAGCCCATCCCAATCCTACCAGCGACGGGGAGAAATGTTTCCGTTGCCTGTGAGACTCACAGGCTGTGTTTGTGCTTTCTCAGATTTCTTGGGATCAGTCTGCTGAAGTTTTACATAACTGGATTCGAGGTCATGATAAAGTCCCTGGAGCCTGGTCAGAGATAAATGGACAGGTATGTTCTGGACTCTATTGTCCCTCATAACCTTCATCAGAGGTACTACGAAGAAGTCCAGGCTTCCCCTGGTTCTTCCCTTGGGCATGAGCCGATCTGTGATTTCTCTTCTCCTCTTTATTCAGCGTGTAGTTGGCATTTATTGTAGGCACAGCCCCTGCTCCTCGGGAGGCTGCGGTTTTGTGGAGAAAGCAGAGAAGTGAATAAACACTGACGCTGCTGTCAGATAAATGCTGTAGCTGAGACTCAGACTCCGGTATGTTGGGAAGCGCTTTCCTAGAAAAGCTGGTTGCTTTGCTAGAACTTGGAGATGAGTTAACCAGGGAGAGAGCAAGACAAAGAGGTGAGGTCCCAGAGGCCGAGGAGTCCACCTCCTTTAACAGGAAGATCTGTACAATGGGATTAATAAATCTGCCTCCCTGTAGGTTATGAGGTTTTGTGAAGATTACATGAGTCAATCCATGTTAGTTCATGTAAGCACTCAGTCCCTGGTACAGAGTAGTCAGTCAATGTTATTTTAGCTCAAGAAATGCCAGCCAATAGTCACAGACTCATAATAACCAATCAGAGTCAGTTGCTCTTGGCTGCAGTCTGGATCTAGCCTTATTTCCATGAACTGACCCCAAAGCACCCTGCACTTCCCATCACTTCCTGCCCTGCATTGTGGGAGTCTGTCTGTCCCCTCCCTGACACCCTCCCCCAGCACTTCCATCTGTAACCCCTACCTTCAGGCTACAGAGGCTCATCTTTGTATCAATTTCAATACATGGAGAATGCTTACTTGTGTCACCTGGATGGTGGGGCAAGTTTTAAACTGTTCAACTGTGGTGTGTGTGTGTGTGTGTGTGTGTGTGTGTGTTAGGATATAACCCAGAGGTGCTCTACCACTGGGCTATATCCCCAGCCCTTTTTATTTTATTTTGAGACAGGCCCTGGCTAAGTTGCTGAGGCTGGCCTCGAACTTGCAATCTTCCTGCCTCAGCCTCCCATGTCTCTGGAATTACAGGCCTGTGCCCCCACACCTAGTTTATGCAGAATGTTTTCTTGCTTGGCGCCCATTTATACTGATGCTTGATACAGTCTTCTCACATATTATTACAGATACAAAATGTATAATGTAATTATGTCTCACTTTTATTATAGATGATAATTCAAACTCTAGCATTTCTGCAAAGAGCAATGCTTGCACACACCCCTATGAATGCCTTTTACTTCCTGATTTTACAGTCTGCTTTTGATCTCTTTCTTAGATGGTCACTTTCTATGGCTCATCATTACTGAGTAGCTCTGTGCCTCCCGGAGAACCGCTGGAAATTAAAGGTGCCAAGAAGCCTGGCCTTGTTACCAAAAATGGACTTGTTCTTTTTGGTAACGATGGAAAAGCTGTGAGTGTTCAGCATGGTCACCTGTGAAATATCAATTTCCTTCTCTAACACTAGCTATAAAGGGAATAGCTTTTACAGGGTCATCTGGCTTTGCACTGGGTGTGGGAAGCTCAGGATATCTGAACCATTCTCCTCTGGTGAGGAGCTGCCTCTCTGTGCCCCCTTGAAGACAGGATCTTCAGGATGAACCTGCCCCAGAACCTGCAGTCTGTTTTGGGATACAGGAGAAGACCTTGGACCCTAAGAGTCAGGGGTTTGAACTCCTGTTCTACCACTCTCTGGTCTTGGGTGAGATGGGTCTCCCCTCCACAACTCATGTTCTTTTTCTAGAAAGCAGAGGGGAATCCACCTGTTTGCCTCCCACTACCCACTCTGGGAAGATCCATCAAGATGCATGTGGCCCTCCTCTGATGTGCACTGCCATTGCTCACTAGCCAGGCACCACCCACCCTGCCGTGCTCAGAAGTGTGGCTCTGGGCCTCAGTGTGCTCTTGGGCGCTTCCCAATGAACAGTGTGAAAGGGAATTTGTAGCGTAAAGACGTTTCCCAGTTACTGGGGACAAATCATTTGTTAAGATGGTAGACTTTAGGGCTGGGATTGTGGCTCAGTGGTAGAGTGCTTGCATAGCACATGCGAGGCCCTGGGTTCGATCCTCAGCACACATAAAAATAAAATAAAGATATTGTGTCCAACTACAACTAAAAAAAAATTTTTAAAAAGATGATAGACTTTAGCATCTAGCTAGTTCCAGGTCCTAATATCAGCTCTGTTACTTACTATCTGGGTGGCACTGGGCAAATGAATCAACCATATTGAGCCTCCATTTCTGCATCCATAAAATGAGCCTCCATTTCTGCATCATAATAATGGCATCTGCCTCCATTAGAATTTCTGAGATTAAATAAGATATTTCAGCTCATATACACTGTGCAAGAAACAGAGCAAGGGTTCACACGAGGATAGCAGCAGACTTGTAGTTAGTGACAGTGCCCCTTGTTGCTATAGTAGATTCAGTCCAATACCTACAGTTAAATGTCCATTTTTCCTGGTCTTCCTATCCACTTTGAGATGTATCTGCTCTAGACTTGAGTTTATCCTTCCTGATGCAACTATTAAAGTGCCTTATCAATTCTTTTGCACATGTGGAGAGTATTTTTTTAATCTACATTTTTTTATTTTCCAAATAGGCTGGTCTTTATAACCATATAATAAATTAGATTCCACCACGCTCACTTTTGGACCATCTCAATCCTCAATTTTTATGCTTGCTTTGCTGCTATTTTAGCTGATGGTGAAAAGCTTGCAGTTTGAAGATGGAAAAATGATTCCTGCCTCCCAGTACTTTTCAAGAGGTGAGACATCAGTGGTAGAACTTACGGCTGAAGAGATGAAGGTGGCAGAGACCATCAAGGTGAGCACGTGATGTCCTTCCGATTACTCTTACCTTGGAAAGATGTAGCATATTCATAACTGGTATCATTGTCCTCCAAGTTGTGGGGTTGAAGGTTTATTTCCTATTTTTATATAAGTTGCAATAGGAAATTGACTCCAAAATTAATATGCTTGAACATAGTGTATGCAAATTTTCAAGGCAGTTTTAGGTTGGCTTGGAGGGCAGGGTGAAGCAGGGGCAAAGGCAGGGAGTGGAGCCCCCAGAGTTGTTTTCAAGGTCATTTCTATTCCCTGTAGCCAGAAGGGTGATAAAGCACAGTCCTGCATGGAGCAGGTTTTCCATGGCCAAGACCAGGGCGTGTGGGTCACTTCCACTCACACTCCATGGCTGCATCTCACTGAAGGGATGCTGGGAAAGGTCGTCGAGCTGTAATGCAAGATGAAGAGGAGACAGGCTATAAGAGCTGGCCTGTCTCTGCTACGTGGTTCTACATGTGTCCCACTGGCAAAGGTTTCCCTTTCTGTGCAGGTCATCTGGGCTGGAATTTTAAGCAACATCCCTGTTATTGAAAACTCCACGGACTTCTTTAAATCTGGAGCAAGATCAATGGACGTTGTGAGGTAGAACCACCCCTGCTAACGCACAGGCCTCCACGAGGGATTCTGACTTTGACTTTGAAAATCGAGTCCCAGTCCTTAGTTCTGGATGTCATCACCCTTTTCAGATCTGTCAATTGCATATCTCTTCATTTTCTTGTCGTGGTTTCCAGGACAGACACCTATATCTATATCTTTACTTCTCTTCGTGGCTAACCAGAGTTGTTTTCTTTTTAAAAAAAAAAATTTATTATTTTAATTTTAGGTGGACACCATATCTTTATTTTTATGTGGTGCTGAGGATCGAACCCAGTGCCTCATGCATGCTAGGCAAGCGCGCTACCACTGAGCCCCAGCCCCAGCCCCCAGAGTTGTTTTCATCCCTCCTTTGTACCTAGACAACCAATCCTTCTAATTGTTTGCTACTTCTAAAAGTCGTCTCTGCACTCCTCAGCTGATTTTCCTCCAGCATGACATTGCAGTTGAGCTCTGGGTGAGAACGCTAAGCGGGGGTTTTTCTGTGCAGCCTGACCCAGAAGGACACCCGACATTGATTACACTTGCCCTAAAATCATTTTCTCACATCCCCCAAATTACCCAAGTAGAAAGATCTAGAATGAGGGTTATCGGGCTGCCATTAGTCAGAGTGTCTCTGCACAGGTTTACAGTGAGCGGAAAGGGCTGGAGTCACAGCCTCGCTGTGGTAATGCAAGTGCCAGGATCCTCGTGGTCTTAGCAGAGGCTTTTTTTCCCTGAGTAACTGGGATAATGAGACGCTGCTAACTAACCAGGGCCGGGCCGTCCTTTGATGGTGAGAGCAGAGAACAGAAGCTAAGGGTGTTTTGATCCCAGGCACACTGTGGTCATTCACTAACTAAACAAGGTAAAGAACTGTCCTCCTCATGATATGATCCTTCGTATCTACAAAGCGTTATTCTACTGTCCCATCCCCCAGCTCTGGTACCGGAGCAGAACCCAGGACGCTTAACTGCTGAGCCATATCCCCAGCATCCCCACCTTTGTGTGTGTGTGTGTGTGTGTGTATGTGTGTGTGTGTGTATGACAGGGTTTCCCTAAATTGCTGAGGCTGGCTTTGAACTTGTGATCCCCCTGCCTCAGCCTCCCAGTTGCGGGGATTATAGGTATGCACCACTGTGCCCAGCTCCAAAGCATTTATTCTTGAATATTCTATTTGTTAATTTATTCCCTTGTTAATTTAACAAAACTGACTGAATACTTACTACATATCAGGACAGTTGGGGATAAAGGTGCAAACTAGACCAAGTCCCTTCATTCATGGATCATTGATTCCTGCAGCCAAAAATAATCATTTTAAGAGCATAAAGCATTATCAAAAGTCAAGAGTTTTGATTCCTCAAATTATAGATTTCTCAGCAATGATTTATAAATTTCTAGAAACTTCTAACTAGCTTAATAAAGATTTCAATAGTGTATTCTTAATACTAATTTTTTTTTTGCTATCTAGATGCCTGCAGGAATTATTCATTTCCTGTTTGAGTGCCTGACTTACCATAATGATCTGATATTAACATCTTGATAATGCCATCTGATATCATTACATTGAAAGCCAAGGCACCTCATTTCTTAGAGAATCAATAATTGAACAAGAACTCTGCTGGCTTTCTACACTTAACCCAGTACACCATTACCATCCAAGAGCTGTTAGGGAACAGCTGTGATTCAACAAATTAGTCGGAAATCAAAGGATTGAAGAGGGGCTTCAACAAAATTATATTGACCTACCATGTGGTTAGTCCCTATGTTAAACATGTAAAACGAATAAATGACTGTTTTGGTCTTGTGCATAATCTAGATAAAATATTCTATAGTATTGATTTTCATTTCTCATGATCTTTATAGTTGGAGAATTGCCTTTTTTTCTTACTTATTCTTTGAATTCATTTGAAAGGAAAGTTAACGGACTTTAAGTGAGTAAAATATTTTTGCCTTCATTTATTTTCAGTCATGGGTAAAGTTAAAAAAAATGTTACTGTCCTTTAAGACAAACTTTTAATTTTCTTGCCCCTAGTCTTAGCAACCTCTGTGATTATTATCACAAAAGATCTCCTAGGACAGGAGTAGGCATGTGACAGAAGTGTCACTTCAAAACAATTGACAGGGGGCTGGGGATGTGGCTCAAGCGGTAGCGCGCTCGCCTGGCATGCGTGCGGCCCGGGTTCGATCCTCAGCACCACCTACAAACAATGATGTTGTGTCGGCCGAGAACTAAAAAATAAACATTAAAAAAAAAAAATTCTCTCTCTCTCTTTAAAACAAACAAACAAACAAACAAACAATTGACAGGCCAGGTGTGGTAAAGCATGCCTGTTATCCCAGCAGCTCAGGAGGCTGAGACAGGAGGAGTGCAAGTTCAAGGCCAGCTCAGCAACTTAGTGAGGCCCTAAGCAACTTAGCAGGACCCTGTCTCAAAAAATAAAATATGTAATGGGCTGGGAATGTAGCTCAGTGGTTAATCACCCCTGGGTTCAATCTCCAGTTCCAAAAATAATAATCATAAAATAAAAATAAAGAAAAAAATCAACTTGACAGATGTGAGGAATACATTTCCCCAAAACTCTTTTGAAAATGTGACTTAACAAGAGCTGGTTCTTAACCTTCAGGCTGGTTGAAGAGATCAGACAGAAATGCGGTGGCCTTCAGTTACAGAACGAAGATGTCTACATGGCCACCAGGTTCGAAGACTTCATCCAGAAGGTTGTGAGGAAGTTACGAGGAGAAGACCAAGAAGAGGAGCTTGTGGTGGATTATGTAAGCCTTCCCTCCATGATTCCACTCTACCTCATTTAGATGCGTATGCTAAAAAAAAGAATGCAGGAGCCAGGTGCAGGGGCCCACGCCTGTAATCCCAGAGGCTTGGGAGGCTAAGGTAGGAGGATCGTGAGTTCAAAGCCAGCCTTAGCAACAGTGAGGCACTAAGCAACTCAGTGAGACCCTGTCTCTAAATAAAATACAAAATAGGGCTGGGGATGTGGTTCTGTGGTTGAGTGCCCCTGAGTTCAATCCTTGGTACCAAAAAAAAAAAAAAAATACTACTGGGCTTTTTGTCCATTTGCTTTATATTTGTCACCTTTAAAATGGCTTTATTGAGATATACAGATACCATAACATTTCATCCTTTTGAAATATACATTTCAGTGTTCTCTAGAACATTCTCATCAGAGTTGTTCAATCCTCACCACCATTTAATTTTGGAGTATTTTCATCACCCCCAAAAGAAAGACCATACCCATTAGCAGTAATCTACTCCCTTCCCCTCACCTCCTTCCTCCAGCCCAGGAAACCACTGATTTCCTGTCTCTGGATTTGCCTGTTTGAAGCATTTCATATAAATAGAATCAGGCCATTTGTGGCCTTTGTGTCTGGCTTCTGTCACTGAGCATAATGTATTCAAAGTCCATCCACATTGTAGCAAGCATCATTACTTCCGTCCTCTTGCTGACCAAATAATATTCCACTGCATGAATAGACTACAATTTGTTTATCCATTCACCAGTTGAAGTACGTTTGGGTCACTTCCCCCTTTTGCTATGATGAATAATACTGCTATAAAAAAATTCATGTATAAGTTGTTGTGTGAACATGTTTTCAAATCTTCTGGTTATATACCTAAGAATCAGTGAGTCATATGGTTGTCCTACGTTTAACTATTTGAGAAACTGCTCAACTGTCTTCCTAAGCAACTACACCACTTCGTGATCCCTCCAGCAAAGGACTAGAATTCCAACTCTCCATATCCTCACATTGGCTGTTACTGTCTTCTCTTGTAGCTGTCCTAGTGGGGGGCAGAGTGGTGAGGATCTCACTGCGATTTGGATTTGCCTTCCCTGTGACTAATGATCTTGAGCATCTTTTTGTGTACTTACTGGGCATTTGTGTATTTTCTTGGATAAATGTTTGTTTGAATCCTTTGTGCATTTTTAGATTGGATTATCTTTTTGTTGTTAAGTTGTGAGAGTGCTCTGTGTATTTTTGATCCTAGATCGTCATCAGATATGGATTTGCAAATATTTTTTCTTGTTCTATGGACTTTCTTCTTTTACTTTCTTGACAGCATCCTTTGATGCACACACAGCGGGTTTCCATTTTGACAAAGTCTGATTTATCTGTTTGTTTGTTTGTTGCCACTTCTGGTACCGTCTTTTATTCCTTTATTCCCCCTTTACTGCGGCCTTTTGTGTTAAGCAGATTTTGCCTTCCACGCCATTTCAATCCCTGTTGTCTCTTTCACTGTGTCTTTTAGTTATTTCCTTAGTGGTTGTCCTGAGGATTACAATTAGAGTTTTTGCTAAAAGCAATCCCATTCAGATTCACACCAGTGTAATACCAATAGTGCAGGAAAACTCAGCCACAGTAGGGCTAGTCCCCGCGCCTAATCTGCAGTGACATTTGCATACAAGTTCCATCTTCAGGCGTTGTAAGGTCACCGACACAGTTTTATAATTATCGCTTCCTACAGTAGTCTTTTAAATCAGCAAGAAGAGTAAAAACAAAAATCTATGTAAGCCGACTTCTGTATTTACTCATGTAGCTGCATTTGCTGATGATCTTTGTTTCTTCATGTGGATCCCAGTTACTGCCCAGAGTTTTTTCATTTCTACCTGGAGGACACCTTGGGACAGCAATGAATTTTCTGTTTTTCTTCATTGGGAAACATTGTAATTCTTTTCCATTTTTGAAAGACAGTTTAGCCAGGTGACTCGGCTATCATTATCCCCATTTTATTTTGGAAAAAAACTGAGCTTCATACAAGTTAACTGAGTAACCCCAATTCACTTGTCAGCCAGTGGCAGGGAGTACAGGGAGGAATTTAGAAAACAGAACTTATAATGGCACCACGCGGAGGGGAAACCTTAACACAAAGGCGCGAGCAACGACCTAGGAAAGCGGTGGCTGCGTGTCACGGATGTTCCACTAGATGGCGGTGTTGCTGCAGGAGGGACCGCTCCCGAGTTCTTCCCTCCTTAGGAAACCGGTTAAGCTCTTCCTGACTCAGAGGCCACACCAAGCATCTTGAGGCCTAAATCTTACCTATTCTTGTCTTTTATCGAGAGTAGACAATAGAAACTAGAATCCCACTGATTACTTCTCTCGCTGCATTAGTGAATTATCTTCTTTACTGACATTCAGTATCAAGTGGTAAGCACAAAAACCCATCGGATCTATTGATATGATTCTCTCTTAGGTTGCAAAGGAGGTCAATGAAATGACAGTAAAAATGCCATATCAGTGTTTCATAAATGGACAGTTCACCGATGCAGACGATGGAAAGACTTACGACACCATCAACCCAACAGATGGGTCGGTGAGTAATCATGTGGTGTGTGCAGGGACAGGCAGCCACGGATTCAGCTCCCGCAAGAGCTGCAGAAAGGCAGTCTCGAGACATCCCTTCATCTGCCACGCTGCCTCCAGGCACCTCACGCAATACACTTCTGCGTTTCTTTCAATGAGTCAACTCTGATAGCGGCTGCTGTTAATCAGAGTAACCTTTTTAATAGGGTGGATATTTGTTATGAATTTAGACCAAGGGCATGTCAGAGGCACCTCTCTGCATAAAGCTATATATGGGAAAATTTTTTTCAGACTTTGAAAACTTGTGGCAAGAATTCCAGCTTCCCTAAGGCATGAGGAGAAATATATAGTATTTCTAAATGTGTTCTTCCATAATGAGGTGCAACACGAGAAGCGCCACATTTCAGGCTCACAGTTCTCATGTCCAAATGATCCCTTTTTCTTTACCATATTCGTAGAGGTATTCATTTTCCATCAATTTGAATTTTATAAGTGATACTCTGCTTTTTCCTAGTAACAGAATGTCAATTCCAAGAATCCATATATACAAATATCTATATCTATCTATCTATATCTACATCTACATCTACATCTACATCTATATCTATATATACACACCTTGTTTTTTGCTTTCCTTGAAACAGACAATATGCAAAGTATCCTATGCCTCTTTGGTGGATGTTGACAAAGCAGTGGCCGCCGCAAAGGATGCCTTTGAAAACGGCGAATGGGGAAGAATGAATGCCAGAGAAAGAGGAAGGTTGCTGTACAGGTGTGTTTTTTAGAAAAGCGAGTCTGTCACCTTTGGATATTGGTTAGCATTGCCAGAAATTTGTAAATTCGTGCAAAACGTTCTGGTAGGCACCTGCTATATACTGTCTTCTGTTACTCAAATCCTATCAGTCCTGAATCTGGAAGCTCCTGACATTTGTGTCATTGCTTGCGTCATTGCTTGCGTCATTGCTTGTGTCATTGCTTGCATCAGCCTGGGTCCTGGTGGGAAAAGAAGTTGAATGAAGGACTTTTTACAAAGATGTGGGCAAGGTCAAGGGACCAAGGGACTCCCACAGAGGATAATGGCGCACCCAGGCAGAGGTGGAAGCAGGGGAAGCTGCTACTCCTCCAAGGTCAGAAGGGACAGAGGAAGGAGCTGTTTCTAGACTCTGGCAAGATCTGTCTCTTCGGGAGGCCACACTGCAGAGGTCTTAGTTGGAGGGACAGAGCAGCTGCTAAACCACAGCCAGTCAAGAGAGGGAGTTGAAAATGTAATCCCCAACCATATTCTCCTCCAGCCTGCCAGCCTCCGCAGGTGTCTCCAGGAGCCAGGTGATGGAGTCGATAAAGGTCATCCTCCAAGGTCATGGAGAGGGTGGAGAATGGACAGAGAGCAGCAGATGGAGATACCCAGCACCCCGTTGTCTTCAAGGATGCAATTTCAATCTCTTTGATATGTAGGGATTAGGAGCACGGAGGGAATACCAGGGCCTGGAGAGAACATTATAGATGAGTAACTGAGCAGGCCGGCAGGAATCAGGCTATCATCAACTCTGTTTTCTGCTCACCTAAAGCTAAATATTTGATCTTAATTAAGTGATCTCTTAGGAGCCAGTCATGGGAGAAAAGTTAGGGAGGGAACACCTCAGGCCTGACCCTAGGGTGGCCCCAAAGGAGCAGCTCGGAGAACCACTCCAGGAAGGAGGGGAAACACGCAGGGGAGGCGGACACAGAAGATGGCCTTGGACTCTGTTGTGGTGATTGTAGTCCCTCCATGTCTCTCCAGTTAGTTTAGAAAACATTTCTGTAGCAGCGGGCGCTGGGCAGGTGTGGGGTTCTCGAGGCGCGTGGGCTACCTTCTGAGGTCTGCCTCCTCATCCCCTCTGTCTCCTGTCCTTGAGCTCCTTCCCCGGCTGCGGTGCTCGGTCACTCAGGCCAGTTGTGCGCACTAGGTGTCTCCTTTGTCACTCTTGCACAAATCACGAATGAGATCGTCTAATATCTGCCTTCACTACTGGACCCTGATCTCCTAAGGGCAGAGACCCTGGTCCATTTGTGTTCACCTCAGAAATCTCAGTCCTAGAATTGTAATATTACCTTAATAAGTTTTTAGCATCTTCTGGGGTATTTTGATAGCTCCCTTTCCATCGATATTAATTTTTGTGATCTTGCTTTTTTCTTGAATACACTTGTTTGGTTTTTATCAACTTTTAGCTGTATTATTTCTTCTCTACATCATGAATTTCTGCTCCTCCTCTTATTTCTTCCTTCCTACTTTGTAATTTGAAAATAACTTGTTTGCTATTTTAGCTTCTTTCTGATGCAAGTACTTTAAGTTATAAATGTTCATCTGAGTACTGTTTCATCCCAGATATTCTGATATTTTAAGCTTTTATTATCTATTAAGTCAAAGCATTTTTTATTTACTTTTCTTGTGCTCTCTTTGTTGACCTCTGAGATATCTGTAAGTGTGCCATTTAATTTTGAAGTAGTTGACATGTGGGGTGGGGTTCTATATATCTTAAGGCAATTGATTTCTAATGTAATAAAAAATGCAGGAAACACAGTCTGAATGATTTCAAATTTTTTTTAAAAAAGTAATGGAAATGGTATGTATTGGTTACATACATGTCAAAGCTGATCAAATCACGTACTTCAAATAGGTACATTTTATTGTACTTCAGTTTTACCTCAATAAAGCTATGGGAGGAAAAAGAAATCTCAGTCTTAGGATATCATATCTATAATAAGGATGCAATCAATAATCATCGATTGACTGTTTTCCACTGGCCATGCAGACTTGCAGACCTACTGGAAGAAAACCAAGAAGAGCTAGCAACCATCGAAGCCCTTGACTCCGGGGCTGTCTACACCTTGGCTCTGAAGACTCACATTGGAATGTCTGTGCAAACGTTCAGATACTTTGCCGGCTGGTGTGACAAAATTCAGGTAAGCATGAATGGTCTTTGTTCTGAAAGGAAGAGGGACTAACATCCATGAGTTGTCACCAGGTACTGGGTCAGACCTGTTTTTGCCATAGGTTTTCTCACCTATGTGGCATGGCTGTCTTAGTCAGTTTTGTGCTGCTATACCAGCTTACCTGAGACTGGGCCATTTATAAAGCATGGAGATTTATTCTGTCATAGTTGTAGGAACTGGGAAGTCTGAGTTCAGGTTGCCAGCAGGTCTGGTCTCTGGTTCCAAGATGGCACCTGGTAGCTGCATCCTCTGGAGAGGTGGAACAATGTCCTCACATGGCAGAAGAGCAGGAGAGAGACTCCCTTCCCATCAGCCCTTTTTACAGCAGCATTAATCCTCGAATGAGGACAGAGCCCCCGTGATATAAGCACCTCACATGAGACCCCACCTCACAACACTTGGATTTTGGATTAAGTTGCTAATACAGGAATTATGGGGGACACAGTCAGACCATAGCAGTGGTTATAACAGCTGTGAGGTCAGTGGACAGCTGTTGTCCCCTTACTGTAGACAAGGAAACGGGCTGGAGGGATGAGTGCCTTCCTGTGACCCACAGCAAGTCAACTGCAGGGCCAGGTTCCACCGCAGGCTTTTCTGAATCTGCAGCCCCCACTCCTCCTTGGGCTTTGCCAAAATGCATCCTGAGAGCATCGAGTTGTCTAGAGAGAACCCTGGGGTCAGGCGGGGTTGCCAACGCAGACGTCTACAGAGGCCAAAGGGCGAACGAGGTGGTGGAGGCCGACTGAGCGCAAGAACATTTTGGTAAAAACAAGGGTATAATAAATATTTAATTTTCCTTTTATTCTATGGTAAGAAGCAGGGCATGCTTGGTGGTGAATGTCAACTACACTTGGTCTCAGCACTGGGGACAGACACAAAGGAAAAAGGGGGGCCACCACTGAGAGCAGCACACGACCACCCTCGGCAGGGACGCACCGAACTTCCGCAGGAGCTTCTCCTGCAGCCGCATCCTGGCAGCTGGGAGGAAGGGGGAGGGGGAAGGGAAAGGGGCTTTAGAAAGCATTCCCACCCCCCATCCCTCCACCCCCGTGCCTTGTGCTTATGTCACCCATGTGCCATCTCTGTCTCTAAGGAGACTGAGAAACACCTTATCTATGAGCATCGCTGCCACCAACATTAGCATAGAGTCAGAGAGGCCCGGGTCCAGTCTCAACTCTGCCATTTACCAAGTGTAAAAGCTATGTTAGCACCAGTACAGTGTGCACACCTGTATTCCAGCTACTCTGGAGGCTGAGGCAGGAGGACCCCAAGGTAGAGGCCAGCTTGGGCAACTCAGCGAGACCCTGTCTCAAAATAAAAAATTAAAGGGGCTGGGGATGTGGCTCAGTGGTAGAGCATCCCTGGGTTCAATCCCAGTTCTTTAATAATAATTTTAAAAAGTTATTTTACCTCTCAGCACCTTACTTTCCTTGTCTGTAAAATGGCTGCAGTGATACATCCATTGAAAGTTATAAGGATAGGAAATAAGTGCTTCTATAGGACAAGATAAGCCTGAAGCATAGGAAGTTACACCAAAAGGAAGTGTTGATGATGGTTCGGCCCAGGGCCGTGCACCTGCAGACATTCAGTGCTTCAGGGCCACCTCTTCTCCTCAAATGTGAAATCCAAATAGCTCTGGAACCTGAAAATTGATTGGATTGGTTCAGACCCAAGGGCTGCCAGACACTGACCTGAGGGAGGATCAGTCTATTTATAATCTTTATTTGTATCACTTCCAGTCAAGATTCCTATGCTTCACTGAGTAAATATGAATGTGTTTGATTATGGAGGGTTTTGTAGATCTTACGATGGGTAGTAGATAGGATATGTGCACTATGTTGTTTCTGGAGGCCAAAAAATTCTGAATTCCGAAGTAGAGCTGGCTGCAAGGGGCTCAGGTAAGAGATGGTTGCCTGGCATCCATGAGAGCAATGATCTTACCTGACAAAGCAAGTGAATAGCTCCGGTTAAAGACTGAGGTTGTGAACTCCTTCGGATTAAGTTTGGCTGTGTATAACAGAAAACCCCAAAAAGAAGGTCATTTTTCTCTCATTTTTGAGAAGTCCAAAGGCAGGCAGGCAGGCAGGCAGGCAGGCAGAACTAGTACGTGAGATGCAGGCTCCTTCCATCTCTGCCAGGCCGTCCTTACTGCCACGTGCCTTCTACCCTCAAGGCTGTCTCTTGGTCTCAAGATAACCACTGCAGTGCCAACTATTTCAGCAACATTCTAAGCAGGAAGAAGAAGGAAGTGGGAGTAAAGGGTAGGGTAAAAGAGTGTTTGTTGTAACTGAGTCAGTCTACGTTAAAGCTTTGGGCTTACATTTTCCACTGACCAGGAGACTCGGTATTTTTTTCTGGGCACAGTGCTGTCCCCATTGTTAACTGGGGGTCCTACTAGGAAGAAGAGAGAGTGGATGTTGGGTGGGCATTTAACATTCTCTGCCATGCTTTGAAGTTGGAAATGGAGGTGACTTAATCAGAATCCTTCATTCTCTTGTGTCTCCTAGTTCTTTGGAGAAATGAACAGCCGTCCCTCTTGGGTGGGTGGGGACGTATTTCTTATGTGTTTGACAATGCCTTTTCACATCACCTCAGAAAAATGAGAGAGGAGGGCAGAAGATGGATTCTTTGAGATGAAATTCACCACTTTACCTTGGTAAAGGAAGCACCCACTTGTTCTGTTCTTCAGGGCTCCACGATCCCCATCAACCAGGCCCGTCCAAGTCGCAACCTGTCCTTCACCAAGAAGGAGCCGCTGGGGTAAGACTCAGAGCGCCTCTGAGTGACTCTCCCGCGAGTGAGTCTGAGGCAGCTGAGGATGTCGCATCTCCCCGCTGCAGGGTCTGTGCCATCATCATCCCCTGGAATTACCCGCTCATGATGCTGGCCTGGAAGAGCGCCGCCTGCCTGGCCGCCGGCAACACCTTAGTGCTCAAGCCCGCGCAGGTGAGCAGCCCAGCGGACAGTCGCCCTCTGTGTGCTCAGCCACACACGTTTGTGCACGGTGCCTCGCGATCCAATACCGCGATGCCTTTTCCTGTGTCATAGGGTGCCTTCATTTAAAGTGTTCATTTTTAACAGCCACCTAATCATCCTATGGAGACTCGATAATTTAGAACTTCCAAGGTGGTGTAGCTCAATGAAACCCATTGCCCTGTTACAAACCAGTTCAAAACTTGCAAAATGCCAAGTGCCCAAAGAGTGGAGAATTATGTCAAGTAACTATGAGACATCAAAATAAAAATATGCAGGCATGCAAACATGATCATCCAAAATATTGTAAAGATGTGGGAAATGAGGGAAAAGCATGTAAAAAAAATCTATAACCGTGGCAATTTTATAAGAATATTTATATGTGGATAGCAAGGAAATACTTTAAAAATAGATCAGGTAAACCAGGCACATTCTTGTAATCCCAGGAGCGCAGGAGGCTGAGGCAGGAGGATCACAAATTTGAGACCAGCCTGGGCAACTTTGCAAAATTGCAAATTTGCAACTTTCTCAAAATTAAAAATAAAGGAGCTGGGGATGTGGCTCAGTGATAGAGTACTACAGGGTTCAATCCCTGATACAAAAACAAACAAAATCAGGTAATTCTCAAATACATCCATTACTGCCACATACAATAGCTCTTCAAGAAAAATGTAGTAGACAATTTAACAGAGAGCATGTACTAAGTACAGTACTTACAGACAGTGCTACAGTTCCAAGGTGCATAAGTCAGGGAGAAAACTTGGAGTCTGTTCTGGAAGAGTTTACAATCAGTTACTTATCAACTAATTTCTTCTTTTAGAACTTAAAAAAATATAATCTCATTTGGCATAGCTACATGGTAATTCAAACACATCCATCTTGTTTTACTGATTTAAAATTTTTTCACTATCGCTTCTCGGCCTTTTGGCTAAGATCAAGTGTAAAATTTTTTCACTAAAAAATTAGATACATGTTTAAAATTTTCAAAAT